CTGGTCTAAATGATTTAGTATTGCTACATTAGTTCCGGGGCGCTCAGATTCATTTTTATTTGTTTTGTATAAAACTGCTTTAGTTTCATTAAACAAATATTAAAATTCTACTTGCCATTAAAATGTCTGCATCCATCTAACATACTTGCAGTACATCTACATAAAGACCTATTCTCGGAAGCCAGAACTTTAGACTGTGTAATCATTGCAAACCTGTAACTACATTACTCGTACTACGAGGGTCACTATTTATGTTTTGAGCCCAATAATGAAAAAATACTAACTTGTCATATTTTATGATTAAAATACTTTTGCATGCATTCGAACCATTTGTCAAAGTATTTTTTCCAATTTTCTTCAGACACCTCCAAAATAAGGTTTTTAAGTGCAACAACGGCTTCGACAAAAATCGTTGTCCACTCCATTTAATCTTGACGTTCGGAACGAAAAGGAAGTCATTGGATGTCAAATCAGGACTCTACGGCGGATGATCCATCAGTTCCATTTTTTTAATGATCAAATAAGACCGTAGTCGGTTTTCAGATGGGATGTGTGGGCACTCGCATTGTTTGATGGAGATAAAGAGTATAATATGACGGCGCTGATTTGTTTTCCGTATTTCACTGAAGACTTCCAGTAAATGAATGGTTGTATACTATTCGGAATTAACCGAATTGACAAGCGACCATTTGCTTTGAGGTGCTTCGAGCGTGAAGAACTTTTGTTGGATTTGGTTTATCTGGAAACACTCATACAGTCGACTGTTGCTTACTTTCCTGCAATCTCGTACTCGTATACGTCTTTTGAAACACCGCCATTGTACTTCTTGAGCATTTGTACTTATTATAAGTATAATATATAATTATTTTTATTATATAAATTGATATCAAGTATAGAAGCTTATATCAAAATATAAAGCAAAGTGCTTAACATGTTAACAGTTTTTTCGATTATCGTGGCATGGTACATTACAAAAATCTTCCATCATGCCAAACTGTTAACAAGGAATATTAGTGAAGCGTGGCGCAACGTTAATCTCAAACTATTTGTACTTACCACTTACAGATGAACAGTTCTTGGTTTACACACCACAATAACACATTTTTACACTGTAGCGGTTCTTCAAGAACATTCCGCCAAGAACTCAACTTATAACGTTCCATAACCATATTATTTGCCTCATTTAGGACTGTGTAGCATCTGCCCACTCCCTTGACCAACGGACGTACTTGACTTCTATGTTGGATTTTAAAGTTTTGTTAATTTTATGTGAAAGTTTATTAACAAATTCACTTGCCGTGTTTTATTAAAACTATATATCTAAATGAAATTATACTTTTATTTTTAATTTTTTAAATTCAATACTGTTTTTTTGTAGAGGCATTATTTATTGCATGACTTTATCACGGAAAAAGTCATGCTAATGTTACTCCGCGATTTGCAAATTCTTGGCTGGCCATATAGTTATTTCCGTCATTATGAAGCCTGAGTGGTCTTTGTAAGTATTTAAATGGTTGATATATTTAATATTCAAGGCATGTGTTTTCCTTAAATCCTGTTTTCATATAACTTTTTTTGTTTAAAAATAATCTGAATATTGACACAGTCATAGCAAAGAGGAAGACTATCGGGCAAGATGCTCATTCTCAAATCCGACCACAATCCAGTTCAGGCAGATTTGATAAATATTAAAAAAATTCGAAATACACTATCGTTTTTAATTTAAAAAATTACTTCTACATTTATTTAAATAAATGAAATACACTATAACAATTAAATAAAAATAAAAAAGTGTCAATGGCCACGTTTCTTGCTTTTAGCTATGTTCATATATAAAGGATATTTAAAAGGACCTTACAACACTAATCTGAGAAGTGTCTCTTTCATTATGTTACAATATCTATGTTAAAATTTTTGTTTCTTGATATAAACAGTACAAAACATAAAATAACGTTTAAATAATTTATTTAAAACCTTTTATTTTATTGTTGCGAATTATTATTTCTTGATGTTTCCACTGGAAACTAATAATATGTTATTTTATCAAATTTTAAAGCTAATATTTTATTTCATTATTTCCTTATGAATATAAATTTTTTTTTACATACCAGATAGCTTTATAAATACTTTGTAGAAGTTTTTGATTGCGATCTCTGGACTCTGTCTAAAATTGAAATTAATCTGAAGCATTACCCCATATTATTAAAAAGACGCGTTTTATTATCTCGACTAAGTTTTGATTTAGAACGAACAATCCATTTGAGATCAGAAGTATTTAGTTTTGGTAGTATTAGTTTTTTATATAATAATATAATATATATTTTAATCTCTTCTCCAGTGTAATTCCCAGATAGTTAATAGAATCCATGCAGTAAATAGCTTTTCTGTTAATAATCAAAATCGTGTATGACGCCTTTTTCAGAGTAAACGTTATATGAATGCATTTCGATTCATTATCTCAAATTCTCCACTTAATTATTCATTCCTCTAGTTAATTTAATTGACGCTGCAGCATCTTTGTGGTAATAATGAATGAATACTCAGTATTACTGTATCATCAGCGAATGAAGATTTTTAACAATTTTTTTTTTTGAATTGCTAGATCCCAATACAGTTCCTTACGGAACACTAGCAAAAATGGCGTAACTATTAGAGGAGTGATTTCTCTAAATAAAAGTAGTTTTTGTGGCAGGATAACATAAATTACCGGAATGATGGACAAAGTATGTAGGCTTTGATGGTCTAAATGTGAAGATATTAAATAAAAAAATTTTGTTTTTCTTGAATGTTTGCATTATGATCTTTCTTTCTCCAAAAAAAAAACTGCATATACCTGGTACATAATTTTGACATGAATATGTAGTCCATTTGCAGAATGCGTAGAAATATGTAGTCTTCCGCAAAAGTCAATGAATTCTCACATTTTAAATTTTTACATTCAAGACAAGATTGTATATTTTTAGTATAAAGTAAACTGCAGTTTTCGATATAGTAATTAACTATTTGATTGTGCGGATATAGATTTTTTATGTGATATACAATCGAACAAAGACTAATATTTATTGAGTAACTTACGTGTAACAGAATTGCCATTAAAAAAATTTATTCATCGCTTTTGTTTCTTGTGTAGTTTCGGTTCTTATTTAAAACACTTTTGTAAATAACCATTCAAACTCTCTATGTGAAGAGCATTAAAACTTCACTAAGATCTGATTTATAATGACCTTTACGGTCCTTTACAGGATTCAACATAAGTCTTCAAAATTTGATTAATAAATTCTCATAAATTAATTGTTGGCGCAGGTGAAATTAAAAAACACGTCTTTTCTTAAGTAAGCTTTGTGCCATTAAGCGAGCCTTATATTTTTTTTCGGTTCCATCAGGATTATATTTGATTGTGAATACCCATCTTGAACCTACCACATTACTGCCCATAGGACGGTCTACTAAGGTTCAAGTGTTATTCTTAGTGAGTGCGTTGTATTCCATCTGCATCGCAGCTTTCCATTTAATGTGATCATCTGAATGTACTGCCTCTTGCAAAGATTTCGGAACTTCACATACTATATTAATGACGTCCGTTGTTTTATCGGCACTCACCTCTTTGGTGTTTTAAAAGCTTTGAATTCTATGTGCTTTAGGTCTTAATCTTTTCGAATTCCAAATTAATTCTCCAGTTTTATTACTTAGCACAGTCCCTTCATTGTTGCTTTCTGAATCGTCACTGCCTGCACTTTCAAACACGTTGTTTTCATATTCGATGTCTTTAAATTTATTCTCACGATCTTCCGTTACATTTTCACGTTCAGCGACCAATTGATCACATTTTTTATTTTTTTCAATCGTTTTGTCCAGTAATTCAAACAATTCTTCATTGTCACTGTTTTCTTTGTTAAACACAGCGTTTGATTTTTGGTTTTCAAAAAATATTACATCCCGAGCGATTACTAATTTCCGATTTTTAGGATTATATAATCTATATCCTTTTGAATTTGACGAGTAACCGACGAATATCATTTCTTCACCTTTAGATTCGAGCTTAGACTCTCTCTGACGTTTATTTAGTACGATAGCTTTGCAACCGAAAATTTTAAAATATTTTACACTTGGTTTTCTGTCGAACCAACATTCGTACGGAGTTTTATTATTTAATACTTTTGTCACGGACCGATTTCTAATATAAGCAGCAGTATTAATGGCCTCTGCCCACAAATTTTTTGGTAAGACAGTTGAATTCAAAAGACACCTTGCCATCTCCATCAGTGTTCTATTGATACGTTCCGCAACACCATTTTGTTGAGGAGTATAACTTACTGTGGTTTCGTGCACAATACCATGTTTATTGAGCAATTCATTAAAATCTTTATTTACAAATTCTAAGCCATTATCGGTGCGTAAACGTTTTATTTTTTGACCTCTTTGTCTTTCTACAATATTCATGAATGATTCAAAAGACTTTAAGGCATCCGATTTTTTAGAAATAAAATCGACATGCAGGTATCTAGAAAAATCGTCCATAAATGTAATAAAATATTTTGCTCCACCTTGAGATAATCTCCGTATTGGGCCACATATGTCGCTATGAATTAGCTCTAGTACCTTTGTTGTACCCACATTCGCGTATTTTGGGAATGGTTGTCTAGTAATTTTTTCAATTGCACAAATTTCACAATTATATTTTTCATTATTTTTAATCATTGTTTTATTTTCATTCAGTTTCATACCGCGAACTATATTTTTTGTGGATAATTTTATTAAGTCTCGGAAGTTTAGGTGGCCGAACCGACGATGCCACGTTTCAATTTCACTAATTTCCAAAGATAACGCGTGTATTTTTCTATTAAAATTAATAACAAACAAACCGTCCTCTTTAAT